CGTGCTGGCCAAGTGGTGAGTGTCTGGGAAGAGGGTGCACACACCATCCCTGAGCTGGGTAGGAAGAAGGGCCAGTGCAGAGGCCTGGTGAAGCTGGTCCCCCGTGTGTTCAGTGGGGTAAGGGCAAGGCTGGGGAATTAGGCTGACTCTGGTTACAAGTGATAGAAACAGGCCTAGGGCAAGGAAGACGTTTGTTGGTCCCTGAAACTGCAAAGCCCAGAGACATGGCTGACTTTGAGCTCAAAAAGGTGTCGTCAGGACCCATTCTCACTTCTCTCCGCACTCTGTCCTGGAGGTGTTGCTTGTGCTGCGGAGCTCCCCTGGTGCTCATCCCCACCCTGACAGGCTCAGTGCGAGAAAGGGAGCCTCTCTCATTGGCTCGTGCTCATCTGCCAGGCTCTGACATCCCACTGTACCCCTATGTCTCAGTCTTAGGGGAAGTGTTCCACTGTCAGACCTGGGGTCCCAGGTGCACCCAGACCAGGTCCCCAAATAAAAACCGGGGGTGCTGTTGGAGGATGGGGACACAGGCCACAGTCTGCTGCAACCAGTGAGACAGGGAGAGGGAAGAAGGGCCTGTGGGAGCAGGTTGGATGCGGAGCAGCAAGAGTCGTGTTCTGAGCCCGAGCGGGCACCATCTGCCGCCTTCCCCCGATGGGTCATTCACTGAGGGTTCTAACAGCTGTGGCAGCAGCAGCAAGCGATCACTGAGTACTTGCTGCATGCCAGGCCAGGCCCTTTATCGCATTCAGTTTACGCTGCCCCTGGTGAGGATGTCCTGTGGTCACTCTCCTTCTCCAAGCCAGGAAACCGAGGTCGAGCACCATTTTGCTGCTTGCCACACAGCTGATAAGCGTGAGGACCACAATTCAGTCCCCGGCTGTCCAGCTCTCATGCTTTCTCTGCATCCTGAGTGAGGAGCAGGCTGTGTACCTGTACCACTCACACCAGTGGCATTCAGCAGCCTTGAGCGCTCCTTCCCCTTTCTCGTCCTCTTTCACTTCTGCCCCGGGATCAGGGCTCAGGTCTCCGTTGGGAGCGAATCTATTGCTAACACCTCTTTAATGTTTTTAAAATCATTCCTTGGTAACCCACAAGCCTCAGCCCCACAGCCTTTGCAGCAAGAGCACAGTGTGGCTAAGATACAATAAAGAGGCCTTTATTATATTTCTTCTCTTGGTGGCAAGAGAGCCTGGATTTTCCCTTTTGTAGAGATAAGGTTTCTAACTGTATTTACGCTGAAAAGCGATATGACTTAAAGAAAGGTGTAAAGGAAGTAGTAGTACAGATGGAACTAAGTGCAGACTCTGGGAAGGTGCCTCACCAGCAACTCGATTTGGGAGACCCCAGCTCTGTGCTCTTCTGTATCAGAAGGTGTCAAGTCGTGTGGGGTGGTGGCAGTGTAGTGTTGGGGCCCGGGGCTCCTGGCTGAATGGTGATATGTCTTTTCAGGTACGAGAAACTCTGCGGGCGCCTGTCCCACCTGAACTTGTGTGTGACCAACTCGATGCGGGAAGATCTGGCAGAGAACTGGGGCATCAAGTAGGAGCCTGGGGAGGCGAGGGGTCCCAGTATGGTTGGTCCCAGCTGCGGTCCCTGCTGTGTCATGTTGGCGAGGCGTCCAGAAATGCCCAGGGGTCTGGGAGATGGTTACCTGGGAAGCCAAGGGAGGAGGACACCAGTAGCCCATGTGGTTTTGGACTTAGAACATGTCTCTGTGCTTCCCCAAGTAATTCTGAAGCTTCTTATTGTCCTTGTCTGAGACTTGGATCCTCTGAATGCCCTTATTTTTTGGATCCCCCTGAATCTTTTATTCCTTAGGTCTTTCTCTGGCTCTCTCTAGAGCCCCCTGTGATCTCATTGCAGAGCCGTGACCGTCTATGACAAGCCAGCATCTTTCTTTAAAGAGACACCCTTGGACCTGCAACACCAGCTGTTCATGAAGCTGGGCCGCACCTACTCTGCATTTAAGGCCCGGTAGGTCTCCCATCTTCAGCCTTTATCTGCCTTCTCTTGTGCTTCCTGTGCTCCCGCCTCTCCCCCATATCCTCGCAGCTGTTCTGTCTCTCCCCTGGCTCCTCACTGCTGTCGTGGCCTCTCTCATCTTCTGGCTGCAGACCTGGGAATCCTCTAGTCCAGGGGTTGGCGAACCATGACCACAGGCCTGCCACCTGTTTTGGTAAATGAAGTTCTGTGGTACTGCAGCACACTCATCCGTTTGTGCATGGTCCATGGCTGCTTTTGTACGGCAACAGCAGAGCTGAGTGTTGGATGGTGGTTCTGACTTGGCCCGACCTTTGGGAGCCTGCAGGCCTCACTCCTCACTCTGGCAGGAGATGGCCATCCTGGGGCCCGAGGCCTTGCTCTGTGGCATCTCATGGGCTCTGTTTCTGTTCCTTCAGCTCAGAACCCCTGGACCCAGCAACAGAGAGGTCGGCCTTCACAGAGCAGGATGCTCAGAGCGGGGTGGTGACGCATCTTCGTGGGCGGCCAGCCCTGTTGGTCAGCAGCACCAGCTGGACAGGTCTCAGGACACTTCTGGGCGCTTGGGGCTTGTGTGAGCACCTGGCTGAGCCTGCGCCCCATGTGTATTTGACGACACTTGGGCCCAGATGAGAAAGGGGAGGGTCTTGAGCTGGGAGGGGAGGCATCTAGAAACCAGCCAATGACACTTAGGTCTCTTTTCTTACAGAGGATGAAGACTTCTCCATCTTGCTGGCAGCATTAGAAAGTAGGTGTGTGGCTGTGATCAGCAACTTGTCAGGGGCTGTTGAGCTGTGAGGTGCTCAGCTGGCCTTGCGTGGTGTCCTCTGCAGCATGTTCCTGCCCCCAGGGCCACTGAGTGGGTCAGCCTAAGGACATGGGTGGTGGAGGTGGCGGCTTTGCATCCCCGTTGGGTCACTGAGTGACCAGGCCCTAGATCTGAAATGCCACCTCTGGGAGAGTGATCTTGTGGATGGGAGAGTCTCTCTCCCCGCCACCATCCCGTCCCCCAACCCCCACTCACCTGATTAGATAATAATTCTGGTTATCATTTAATTTTTTTAAACATAGAGTTTGAACAGCTGATCCTAGATGGAGAGAGCCTTCCTTCTCTGGTCTGTGTGATAACAGGTATTGCCAGGGATCTTCCATGTTCCCATATAAAATGGGGGCAGTTGGGGGCAGGGTGCAGAAGGCATCTGCCTGTATTGTGTGCCTTCCCCACACCAGGCGTGTGATGTTGGTTGTCTTGTCAATCCTGACCACAGCTCTCTGATGTAGGGTTTTCTGCACGGCTTGACAGAGGAGGAAACTGAGGCTCAGAGGGGCCTGATAGCAGGGTGTGGCTTCTAGTTGAATCTTGGATAGCATGGCCTCACAGATACTGAGTTTGTACATGTGTGCAGTGGTTTCCAGGCATCCTTTTTTTTTTTTTTTAAATGAAAGAGCCCACTTTAAACTAAAGAGCTCAACATAAAATTGCTTCCAGAGTAGCCCAGTGCAGAGAGAGAGAAGCAGAGAGCTGTGGTTAGAGCCCCAGGCGAGCTGCCCCACCCTGTATACTCCCCTCCTCCTGGCCAGAGCTCCCAGGGGCAGCTAGGAGCCCACTGTACACACCGTGCCACCTGGGGCATCAGGCAAGACACAGGCCAGTCTGGCTGAGAAGTTGTATCCAGTTGGCACTCTGGTGCCTGCCCAGAGTTTATGCTGGCCACCTTCCCAGCCTGAGGCCCTCTGGATGCAGGTTGCTGGGGGCGGGGGGTCGGGGGGAGAGAAGGGCCATGGCCTCAGCGGTCAGGGTGCATTCCCCTGGGGTTCTGCAAGGGGCCAGATGGGGACCGGATCACAGCTGCAGAGTGTGGGCCTTCTGCTCACAGCTCTGCAGGGTTCTGAGGCTTGAGGCTGTGGGATGGAGCCAGAGATGGGCCCAGTGCAGTGACTCAGATTTTCTCTGCAAGGCAAAGGGCCTCTGAAAGAGTATTACAGCGGCCTCATCAGCCAGAAGTGTTTCCAGCACATCCAGGTCTGTACTCCGTGGCTGGAGGCTGAGGACTACCCTCTGCTTCTAGGTAAGGGCATCCAGCAGGGAGAGAGCTGGGGTTTAAAAGGGAATATTCTAGGATAGGGCAGGGACAGAGTTTTTCTGAAAAGGGCCAGATAGTAATGTTTTATCTGCTTCTATTGCATAGTCTTTGTTTTTATAATCCTTTACAAATTAAAAGCCATTCTTAGCTCCAGGGCCAAACACACACAGGCCTCAGGCTGGATTGGGCCCTGCTTAGGGACTGTGTGGGGCCAGGAGATGCCACCTGCCAGGAACCTGTCGGAGGAGCTCTTGGCTGAACTCCAGGAGACCAGGCTGCTTCCTGATGTGCCGGCTTCTCCTGCCTCCCGGGCCCCAGACCTGTGTATCAGGGTTCTGTCCTCTCAGCCTCTGAGCCCTCCATTCAGTCCTACTCTTCCATCTGGGTAGAAGGGCTGGGCCTGGCTTTGGGTTGGGGTTCCCTGTTCCCCAAGTCTGGCAGGACAGTGGCTTGGGAGGTACAGAAATAAAGTGTTAAATAGCATCGACTCCCCTAGATCTCTCCATCTTCCTCCATCTTCCTCTCTCCAGAGGGGCGTGCTGGCGAATCTCTAAGGCCTCATCCTCCAGTGAGCAGTCTCGAGTGGAAAGCCTTGGGTTGGCAGGAATTTCCAGCCAGTATTTATGCGAAGTTGTTTATTTGGCTTTATTTTCACAGTGACAGCTGCTTTTCTCTTGGGTTTGCTATGGGTTTTTCCCCCTAATTATTGTGGTAAAACACCATTACAGTACAAATTTGCTATTTTAACTATTTTTCCATTTTTATTTTTATTTATTTATTTTTTAAAAGATTTTATTTGTTTATTTGACAGAGAGAGACAGAGCGAGAGAGGGAACACAAGCAAGGGGAGTAGGAGAGAGAGAAGCAGGCTCCCCGCTTAGCAGGGAGCCCGATGTGAGGCTCGATCCCAGGACCCTGGGATCATGACCTGAGCCGAAGGCAGATGCTTAACGACTGAGCCACCCAGGCGCCCCTATTTTTCCAATTTTAAGTATACATACAACTCAGTAGCATTAATTACACGCACAGTGTTGTACAATCGTAACCACTGTCTATTTCTAAAATGCAGAAACTCTGAACCCCTGAAGCAATAGCCGCTACAGGTTCTTTTAAAATATAATGTGGTTAAATAGACAAAGGGAGTCTGTTTGAATAAAACTATCCGTGACGGGCAGGTCGTTTTCAAACAGGGATGAGTGGCCAGGAGTGGTGGTTGGGGAGCTCTTCTGTGTGTCTGCCCTTCTCCAGGCTGCGTGGCCAACTCAGCCAGTTGTATGTGGGGCTGGGGGCTTTCCCTTCCCGATCCACAGTCCTTTCAGGATTTGTGTTCAAGGGGCATGGGCTAGCGCTCTGACTGCCCCCCTCGCCCTGACCCTGCAGGGTCGGCAGACCTGGGTGTGTGCCTGCACAAGTCCTCCAGCGGCCTGGACCTGCCCATGAAGGTGGTGGACATGTTCGGGTGCTGTCTGCCCGTGTGTGCCGTGAACTTCCGGTGGTAGGAGCAGAATCCGAATCTTCCCTGAGTTAGGTTCTCAAATCAGCTGTGGGGGTGGTGGGGGGTTGCCAGCGAGGTCAGAATTGCTCAAGGAATTCCCCCGGAAAATCGTGCAGCATTGCCAGGTGGTCCTCCAGAGTAGGGCCCATGGGGTTTCTGAGGGTGGGCTTCCACTTAGAGCTGATGTTGAATAAAAAATACGAGTCTTAAATACTCCACTTAGGCAGCCACTTACCCATACTCATGGATAGAGTGGTGGCTGGAATTGCCTGCACAGCTGACCTGGTTTTATTTCTCTGTCCCTTTTGTCTGGGCTCATATAGTTGGATTGGAATCAGTTAAATGAGTGTAATTCTCTCTCCACTGTTCTTGGCAAAGATGGGTGTTTGGAGAGGTTCTAGAAATAGTAGCCCCACCACTGGCTCAGGAGCCAGCCTCTGAATGGGAAATACAGGATGTTCGACCCTGAGCTCTGGGCACATTGGGATTAACTACCTGGTGACCCAGAAAAGTCACCCTTAATGTGCCAAGTCTCCATCCAGTGTGGTTGCCTTTTACCTTGTTTTTCTGCTGTGCAATTAAGAAAAAAATGGAGAGCCCATTGAGCACGTTCTCACGGAAAAGAACATGTAGCAGAAAAGGTCAAAGTGTGTGCTCATTGCACCTCCTTTTCAGAATCAGTTTGGATTTTTAATGTGTATCCATCCCTCCAGGCCTTTCTTTTCTTTTCAGATGCCAAATCTAAGAACAGACTTACTGCAAGCAGACTGACTGTGGGAGGGGTGGAGTGGGAGTCCGGGCGGGCACTGGGGGGTTTCTCCAGGCAGCTCTCAGGTCTGTGGTTCTCTCTGCAGCTTACACGAGCTCGTGAAACATGAGGAAAACGGCCTGGTCTTCGAGGACTCCGAGGAGCTGGCAGCTCAGCTGCAGGTAGCCACGTCTGCCCCCACGCCGGGGTGCTGAGTTCCGCCCCCTGATGCTTTGCTCCTGTGGCCGGGTGGGCCTGTGCTGGGTCTGGGTGAAAGTTGAGGCGGGGAGCAGTGGTCTCAGAGGCTGGGCCTCTGTGGGCTTGGTTTGTGTGGTGGGCCCTGACTGTCCTCTGGGTTTGTGGAGCTTACACCACACAGATGATGCTAGAGCTGGTGGACCCTGTGCACTGTCTAGGGAGCAAGTGACTGGTTCTGTGGGAGAGTGAGTGAAGGGAGCTTCGTGAAGCAGCCTTGCAAGGGGATGGGTGGGAGTCTTCAAAGGGTACTTACACTTATTACAAAAGATTGTGTTCATCATCATTCTTGGCAGTTGAGACCAGGGACAGCAAACTTTCTGGAAAGGCCCAGATAGAAAATGTTTTCAGCTTTGCCATAGTCTCTGTCAGAAGTACTCAACTCTGGGGCGCTTGGGAGGCTCAGTTGGTTGAGAATCTGCCTTCGGCTCGGGTCATGATCTCAGGGTCCTGGGATTGAGCCCCATGTCGGGCTCTCTGCTCCACGGGGAGTCTGCTTCTCCCTTTCACTCTCCCTCTGTGCTTTCTCTCAAATAAATAAGATCTTAAAAAAAAAAAAAAAAGTACTCAACTCTGCTATAACATGAAAGTGGCCAGTCTATGAGTGAAGGGATGTGGCTGTGTTCCAATAAAACTGTACTTGCAAAGACAGGTGGAGGCCGAATTTGGCCCAAGGGCTTAGTTTGCAAACACATGATGTAGTTTAGCAAAGCTGGAAAGAACACAGACTGCCTAGTCCTAGCACGTGGGCTGAACAGTGGTGGGCAGAGGCTGAGGGTGGGTGCTCTTGGTGGACGGAACAGCGCAGCAGAAGCCAAGGGCTGCTGCAGGGTACGGTATGTGGATGGTATGGGTGGAAAACGCTGCAGTCTGGCCGCACTGTCCAGTAGGAGCAGAGTAGGAGATGGAGCGTGGCTGGGACGTGAGGGCTCTCCTCTGCCCCGTGAGGAACGGGCTTGCTGGGTCCGGCATATCGAGTTCAGAATGTGTTTGAGCCAAGCTTGCTGTGGAAGCTGGCCCAGAGCGGGAACTCTGTGGGCTCCAAGACACTGGTAGTGTTCTTGAAGTGCAGCGACAGAGGGTTTCAGTAGATCACTGGCCTGACTGCCGGTATTTGGAGGGGGACAGGAATCTAGGCTGCTGGGAAGGAGGAGGGACAGCTTTCGGGTGGGACCTGGGATAGGGGTGGGAAGCAGTGATGAGGTTAAGTTCTGGTCTTTATTCTTCTAGATGCTTTTCTCAAAGTTTCCTGATCCTGCTGGCAAACTAAACCAGTTCCGGAAGAACCTCCGGGAGTCAGAGCAGCTTCATTGGGATGAGAGCTGGAAGCATATGGTGCTGCCATTGGTTATGGACACGTGACCCCTTGAGCCAAAGACTGAGCGCTCCTGAGCGTGGCCCAGTTCCTCTTAGCCCTGGGCAAACGCTTTAGAACAGTGCCTCCCCGTGGACCGCAGCTGGAAGGACAGCTGTGGAATGATATTTTTTAATGACCTACAGTTTGTGGCCCAGGAAACTGGTTCAGCCTGGTTTCCTCCCCGGAGGCTCTGAATCTTAGACTCTTCTGAGCTGAGTGTTTCTTTCTCCCCACTATATTACTTTCTTGTTATTTGCGTGTGGTATCTTCAATATCTCTTTGACCTGCTTTTGTCTTACCGTGTCTGCCTTTCCCAGCATCTGCCCCATTGTGTCCCTACTATTTTCATTCCTGCCTTGAGGACAGGTCCTGCAGCCTGCTGTGTTGTAAGGTGTACAGTGGGCTTGGCTTCGTGAGGGATGTGGGTACAGGCTCGGGGGTGGGGTGGGGAAACATACTTGATACATGTTTTTATTTGCACAAATGAAACGCTTATTTGAGCCAAAATTTTCATTTATGATTTATAGAGATTTACTTAAGAACCAGAACTAGTGACAGAAAGGGTCACCCACTTGAATAGTTTATATTTTATTAGAACACAGTTTGCAGTTCCTGATTCTGAATTTAACATTCTTCAAGCATTCAGGTCCAGTGAAAATTTTATCAGCTTTGCTACATGAAAATTCTTTCCAGGATGGTGATTTAATTTTTATGTTAATCTTTAAAAGCGTTTGTAAACCTACAGCATTAGTTTCAAAATTGCCATGTCTGAGTGCTCTTCATAGGGAAACAGCTTCTGGTTGTGATGAGGCACTGCTTCCCATGGGATCCCAGCCTGGCCTGGAAATACAACATATGTGTCTCAGGATGGTAGGGTTTGGGGACACGACAGCACCCTATATGGTGTGGGGCTGCAGGACAGGCTGGAGGGTATATACAGACCACAGACTTTTGGCCCCATCCACACACCTAGAATCAGCCTTCAGGGATGGGACCAAGAATTGAGTTTTTAAATGGCCCATGGCAGCCAGGTTTGCTGCCCTGCCTTCTGGGCCCTGGAAGGTCACAGACCTGTCTGGGTTTCCTGACTACTCAGCCTGGCGCCTCTTAGCAAAGGCTGGACATACATCAGAAGGGCTTACATCCTTTTCATAAGCACAGCTGTCTGAAGAGCCCTTGGCAAGGATCATTTTGTTACCAGTTTTTTATGAATGAAAGTAATTATAAAAATGAAATATTAAAAGTATTGAAGTGTTGGGGTTCTTGGCTGGCTCATTCAGTGGAACATGCAACTCTTGATCTTGGATTCATGAGTTCAAGTCCCACACTGGGCCTAGAGCTTACTTAAAAATATACACACGTGTGTGTGTATGTGTGTCTATAATCCTGCCACCAAGTACAACTGTTAATTGGTTATGTTCTTTCAGATTTTTCCCTATATGCATGTTAACATGAAGATGATTATTTTTAAAAATACAAATGGGCTTGGGGTGCCTGGGTAGCTCAGTTGGCTAAGCATCCATCTGTTGATTTCAGCTCAGGTCATGATCTCACGGTTGTGAGATCGAGCCCCATGTTGGGCTCCCCAGGGCACGAAGTCTGCTTAAGATTCTCCCTCTCAAAAAAAAAAAAAAAAAGTAAATTTAAAGCTATCG